AAATATATATATGAATGTATGTATTGTATAAGCACACATAAAATAAAATACATTTATATAATACATGTGTATGTATATAATATTATACGTAAATGTATAGACTTGATTATTTTTTGTTTATTTTTATTTATTTATTTATTTATTTATTTTTTATTTTTTTATTTTATTAATTACAATTTTTTAAATGTTCTTATTTATTTATTTATTTATTTATTTTTTTTTTTTTTTTTTGGGGGGGGGGGTTATAACGTATCTTGGTTAAACGTTCAAGACTTGGTCCCGATGGCTGTACGTTGTACCGAGGTTTTACTGATGACGGTTTTGTGTCTGGTTTTCCCCGAGAACTATCAGCCGGGCGGCTGGGAGGCACCATGGCTCAGTGCTGCTTCTTTTTTTCCACACTATTGTTTATGCCTGTCTGTCTATCTTGCTGATTTCCCAGTCGTTATCATGTTCAATTGCTTCTTTTTTTTCCTCTATTGTTTCTGCTTGTCTGTCTATCTTGCTAATTTCCCAGTCGTTATCAAGTTCAATTGCTTCTTTTTCCTCCGGCTTAACTCTGACACATCGTAACAGTCGTCTTTTTAAATGATTGTTCTTTTCCTAGAGAAACTGCTACAGTGGAGAAAGACAGAGGGAAAGGAGAGCAGAGAAAGACCAAGAAAAACATACCAAAATGGCCTCAACAACTGTACAAAGAATAACGCAAAGAGAAAAAACCCAGTTGATCAAGAAGATCAACAATGGGAACGAATGGGGTACCATGATCGTCAATGTCTGCTCCAGACCTGAAGAAGAAGAAGAAGAAGAAGAAGAAGAAGAAGAAGAAGAAGAAGAAGAAGAGCTACAACAACAACAACAACAACAACAACAACAACAACAACAACAACAACAACACAAGGGAGGTGATGGCCCTGGCGAAGAGCACGCTCTTCGAGGCTCCAAACATTTCGAACGAATAGGCTACCACACACACATACATACACACACACAACAACAACAACAACAACAACAACAACAACAACAACAACAACAACAACAAAATCAACAACAACAACAACAACAACAATAACAACATCTACTACTACAACAACTCTAACAAGCTATTTCCATTACCCTGGCAGACAGCCTCACTTCCACCATCTCCCTGTGGTAATCCACGGACCACTGAAACCGAAAACGACCTTTGGGGTCAAGGTAGACTTCATATTGATGCCCCATGGTGCTGAGAGTGAGCAGTGACAGCATGGCAACGATGTCAATGCCGGACCACATGGCGAAGTGTGTGTGGTGAGCTCACCTGTCGTAGGCCTATTATACTCTGATCACAAATAAAAAGAGAACTTCTGGTGAGGCAAGTTTTACTGGAAAAAAATAAAGAAAAAATCTCGTAGTTTTGTTAGTTTTGGCAAAACAAACTGCATTGTACCAATAATAATAATAATAATAATAATTAAAAAAAAATATATATATAATCATAATTATAAATACAAGGATAAAGATAATGATAATGATAATGATGAAGATGATATTATTAACAATAACAAAGTTAATAATAATAATAATGATAATAATAATAATAATAATAATAATAATAATAATAATAATGATAATAATAATAATAATAATAAAGTTAAAAGTAAAGTTCTTCTCGCATCCGATCCAGATATTGGGGATTGTCTTGTTAGTGAGGCAACTTACTGGGCCTTCGGCATATTGTGGTAGGGTGGCCAGTTCCTTTCCACGCCGTCTTTACTTCCCCAACTCCAAGTCAAGTACCCATTACTGCTGGGTGGGCAGGAGGGGGGGGGCACCAAAAAAAAACGGTGTCGAAACCGAGGCTCGAACCTGGGCTTTCCGTTTCGGGCACAAGAGCAAATAATGATAATAATAATAATAATAATTAATAGTAATAATAATGATGATAATAATAATAATAATAATAATAATAATAATAATAATAATAATAATAATAATAATAATAACAATAATTAGAAGAACAATAAAGATCTCGTCTATTACACCTGTTCCCTGGTGGCACTAGGTGCTTCACAATAAAATGAAATGTCAACAGCTTACACAATGCTACGTTTTAGGCATACCGCCCCCTTCGATTTAGAACTTTTCAAATCCTTTCAAATTCGTGTGCGCCCGATGTGCACCAGCATGGAAGTTTTAACAAAAGAACACATACACAGAATAACAATCACTGTTGCTGCTGATCACAATTGTTGATGAAAGAAAATTAAGTTTTGAATTCCATTTTATGATACCACGATTTTTGTACACAAATAATAATGTTTGTTAGCTCATGCTAAAACTAGCAGTATGTATTTAATGATATTAGTTTTGAGTGATCACATATGATTTGATCTTCAGTGTACAAACTCTTGTTTTTATGTTCGAGAAAAGATTGTATTTTTTGGGTGATTCACATAATCTATAAGATACCCATACACCTATAAGCTTATATTCGGCACGCTACTTTAAAAGGCAGGACCAATAATTTAGCAGCCATCTTCGACTGGACCAAGACCAATGGGCAGAAAGCAATACAATCTCTCACATAATAAAAATATGGCACTTCGGGAACGACCTTTAGAGATTCTAACTCTAGCCTTCCGACTTATAATCCAGCTTAATAATAACAACTGTGCTAACAGTGCAATCGGGACGACTGTGAATGTTCCAAAGTACAAACGACTAAAGCCTAAAATAGAGAATGTGTATAGTCTGCAAATCTTCCCAAAAATGCAAACTAAATGAACGTTAAAGCACTGAGTGAGTGCATTTGTGAGATTCATT